GTGGCCAAGCCCAGGGGCCGCCCCGTGAGATGCAGCGGTCCCTGCAAGAGGGCACAGCTCTGCCACCGGCTCCCCACGCAACCTCGGGCACATCACTTCATCCCACTGCTGGGGACTGAGGTGAGAGCCGTCCCAGCGCGGGAAGGGGAGTGGAAATGACTCTGCTGGGCGTGTGCAAGGGGCTGAGATGGCAGGGGAGGGAGGAGGACAGCTCACAGACCAGGCTCGGTGCCCGCGAGCTGCAGGGCCAGGAGCTCCGGAGGGGCAGGTCCCCCCGAGGGCATGGAGGAGGGGTGGGGGCTGCTCACCAGCGAGCCTGGGGGGTTGTAGGGGCAGGTGACTTGAGGGAACAAACACCCGTCTCTGCACCTGGGTCCTGCCTGCTCCTCCATCGGGAGAGGATGAGGCTGGACAGGGTACCTGGCCAAGGCTCCCACCCTCCCAGAGGGCCCGGGGCAGCGCAGACCCCTAGAGCCACGGGGCTGGCGGAGACCTGTGAGAGTCGTACCCAGTCCAAGCACTGCCTGAGGCAGGATCAGCCCTGTCCAAACCAGCCCAATGTCCAACCTCTGAGCAAAACTACTCACCCCAACACAGCCTCAGGCATCATCCCCGCCCCTGCGCCAGGGAAAGCAGGGGGACTGAGGCCACCAACATCCTGCTGCTGCCCGGGGTGTTAACAGACACTCGAGAGCTCCCCGTCGAGTGCCCCAGTTCAGCCAGGCCAAATCCTGTGCATGCTTCTGCATGCAACCTCGCACCCTCGGTCTCAGCCTGAGCAGGCGTGCAGGCAGCGGGGAAGGGAGGTCACAGCCAGGAGCTCTCTAGTGTGTGAGCACCCAGCACAGTGCCGAGCACTGGTTTAGATGCTCACATGGGGGCTGGCCATGGCCTGGGCGAGTCGGGCTCCATCCCTGGTCCATCTGAACTCGCAGCCACCCAAGGGAGCCCACAAACCCGGCCCTGCAAAGGGTTTGCGCGTCGGGCTGCCCAGCAGGGATCACCGAGGGCTCCTGCACACTCCAGAGCCGAGGCCTGGGCCCGGCTCGTCCACGGGGCAGGACAAAGCCAAGAGTGGAAGAGGGCAATGGGGCTTTCACACTGCAGAGGCATCGCAGCTGCACAGCGTCCGTGCGGGGGAGCGCAGGGCCCAGCACCAGCTGCCGGGCCTGGGACGCTGCCTGTCCCCCATCCCAGCATTGCCGGAGAGACTCCCCACGGCACAGGGAAACAGCACCTCACTCTGGCACCTGGGATCTGCTCCGCCACCCACCTCTGCTCCTTCGGATTGGTGTCCAAGCAAGGGCTTTGCGCTGGGGCAACAACTGTTGAGATGACCAATTGATTTTGCGATGAAGTTCGCCACGGCCTCAGGCTCCGGCAGGGAGAGGGACCACGACCCCAGTCATCCACGGCCAGCATCCCGGGCCCCTCTGCCAGCATGCTAGCCTGCAGCCGTGATGCTGCAACAGCCACTGCAGGGGCCACACAACGCAGCCAGGCTGCCCCCACCAGAGCCGCACGGTCCGGCCGACAGCTGCCCCGGTGGGCTGGGCCGGCAGCTGGTACCCAGCCAGATGGAGGCATCGCACCTGCATCGCCCGCCCTGAATTGCAAGCTGACCCCAGGAATTGCGAGCCATCTCCTAGCTTCATCGTTTCTAGGGTTGGAAGGGACCTGAACAGATCATCTAGTCCGATCCCTGAAGTCCTAGTCCTAGCACGCAGGTACGTTGGTCTGCCCGACTTTGGCGCTCCCAGTCCCTCCCCAGGCAAGACGGTGCTGCCCGCGCTCAGTTAGCGCTCGGCAGGGGAGCGGTCAGGGTCGGACCCCATGGCGTTGGGCATGGGATACACAGAGCAGAGACAGCAGAGAGCAAAAGCCACCACTGGCACCTCCTTGCAAGGCCCCACAGGACAGACACGAGCATCTGTCTTCCCCTGCCCTCCAAAACACTGCGCCCACTGCTCGTGTCCAGAACCTGCTCCGCACACACTCAGGGCCCCAATCCTGCTGAGCTGGGGGTGCTGTGGCGGTACAAGAAAGGATGGATTCCCCCCACGTCTGCCCAGAGGCCCCCTCAGCTCCAGGGCACGAGGCAGGCACCCATCCTGCACCCTCTGGCTGGTGCGGGCAGGTACTCACCAGGGCAGGGGTCCTAGCTCCCGCCGGCTGCACCTTCAGCAGGGCCGTGTCACGGAGGGCGCATCGTCCAGCCAGTCGGCAGCTGAGCGCCGCTGCAGCAGCATTCGCTATCGGGATGGGGGGGGACTTCCAAACCTCTCCCGCGCACCCCGCAGCTGGGGGGAGCTCTCCTTCCTCGGGCGCAGCCACCGCCACAGGCACAGGCGTGGCCCTTCGGCGCGGGGCTGGCGGCGAGGCCTCATCTGCATGCTGGGTGAGCCCCCGCACTCATGTGCGACAGAGGAGAAACCACCGCGGCATAACCCACTAAATGAAAAACAATATTTAATTAGGACTGAGAGACTTAGACAAGCACACAATTAAATGTTCTATTACTATCAGTCTTACACAGTTTAAGCCTCAGCTCAATAAGGAACCATTTAAAAAGGCTAATAGAATATCAAAATGTAAATAGGGGAGTTGCATGGTGCATTTCAATAGTGGCGCCCGCACCGGCGGATGCAACAAGGGGTAGGTGGGAGATGCAGGCCGGAGCCCGACCGGGCCCCGGTGGCGGCCCCGTGCAGCAGGGTCCTCCCCGTCCGGGGGTGCTTCTTGGAGGGGCAAAAGCCCAGGGCTGCAAGAGCCACCGTCATGTGAAGACCAGAGCCCTCCATGCAGCACCAGAGCAAGAGGGTTTGCTGCCAGGGGAGAGCTTCCCCCAGCTCAGGGCGCCCGGCCTCTCCGGCAGGGGCTGGAAGAGCTGAACACGAGCATCCACGGAGGGGAAACATTTCATCCACCTGTGTGGGATCTCTGCCACCTCTGCTGCACCTGCCAGGAGAGGGAATCAAAGCGACATCGGTCACGCGTACAAACCGCGCGGGCAGAGGCCGCTCCAGCTGGAGGCACAGAACAAACGGGCCCGACCCGGCCGTGCCCAAACCCGGCTGGAAGCGAGGAGGAAGACGCCGGAGCGGGAGTGGGGAGAAGCTGCCCGGCTTCCAACGCTGGAGCTCGGTCAGCGCATGACAAAAGGAGCGTGGGGTGTCATGGCCGGCAAGGGCAGGGCCGTTTGGGAGACCACGGCGGCTGCCTCCTCTGCCTGCCAAGGGTGATGGGCTGCGGCTGCTCAGGCAATGGAGACCCCACCAGTGCTGCCCCTTGCCGAGGGGCAAAGCCCTCGAGGGCAGGGGAGCTGCAGCTCCTCGTCCCCACTGCCTCCCGACACCCCAGCGCACGGCTGTCGTGCAGCTTTGGGGAGGAACGGCCTGAAGGCCTGGTCCAGCTCGCAGCCACTTTGCCCCGGGGCAGGCAGGGCCCTGTGAGAGGGAGGGGGCTATTCCCCCACCCCACAAGGGCCGCTCGAGCAGGCTCCGCCGGCTCTGCCCTGCGCCAGGGAGCTGAGCCTCGGCCGTCGCGGCCTGGGAGAGCTGGGTCTGCTGGCCCGGGAGGGACGGTGGAGGGATTGCCGCCTATGCCTGAAGAAGAGCGTTTTACCCAAAGCTTGCAAAGAACAATTTTTCAAACTATTTACATGGCCTAATAAAAGAGATCACATCTATCCAAAAACAACCTCATTTGCCTACGTCCTCAGACCAACACCCCCGCAGGCGGAGATAACGCAGCCGGCTGTGCCATCTAGCGGCCAGGAAACAGGCCGTGCTGGTGCTGGTGCTGGCGCTGGCAGAGGAGCCGTGGGGCTGGCCCTCTCCTGCCGCACGCTCAGGGGCACGGGGAAGGGCCTCGTGTGGCACCACAACGGGCAGCTCACGGGTAACACGCTCGGGGCCGAACGCAGCAGGGCGGTGCCATCAGGGCCCCTGCAAGCGAGGGCCCGAGAAGGGATTTGGCCAGAGAGAAGGGCCGTGTCCGGCAGGCCGGGGGGCGGGCAGAGGGCAGCCCGGGAACAGCAGTGGGGGAAAGGAAGAGCAAACCCAGAAGGCAGAGAGGCTGGAGGGGGCAGGAAAGGGCTCCAAAGAAGGCTCGCTCGGCTGTGGTACCTGGTAATAAATTTATTGTATTTTATTACATTTTCCCCTTTTTCACTTGATTCCGATTCCTTGTATCCAAACTCTGCTTTCGGAAAGAAAATGGATTTTTAACATAAAAATATAAATTCTGCATATTAAAAGTGCATACACCTCGAATAATAAAACATACAAATAAATAATAAAAAGGCATCGACACAGTCTCATGCGCTTGTCCTCAAATAATTTAAAAGTTATGGTACAATGTTCAACCTCAAGCAAAGACAGCCTGCGCTCCAGATTACTGTACAGTTCAAAAACGTTAAAATACAGAGAGGATATCAAAGGTGTGGGAGCCCCACGTCCCAGCCTCCGCAGACAGTGATACGACATGCAGCTTTTAGAACTGTAAATATTCCAGTGTAAAACCAGACTTGGAAACCGGAAGAGAAACTGCGTTTGTAACAGGACTTAAAATTCAATTTTAACCAATGGTGAGGCACAGTTGGTGAGCAAATCTGTACAAATTAATACTACAAAGGCCACAAGGAAGTGCTCTGGCCACTTGCAGCCCGTGTTCCCTTTGAGTAATACTACCCAAGGCGATATAGCACCTAGAGGCATTGGTATAGTGCACTGCACAAATGCTACGTGACCCTAACGCTAGCTTTCTTGCAACGTGTTTGTGCACAGAGTCGTAAGTGGGACAGGATCTGTTGGTTTGCACTTAGTTTTAATCTGTGTCTTTTAATTTAAACTGGATTTGCAGGGAAGGTGGATACTATTGCCTTCAAAAAATGCCTAAACCTAGAGGAG